TGCAAACGTACATTTGAAAAGAGAGGTCACAACTGAGGCTGTCCGCAAAGCTTGATCCACGTCAAAGGAAGAAAGTGGGAAAGTCTCCAGACAAAAAATTGTGGTCAGCGGCCTTCGAAAAAGACTTTCCGGAATCGCACTGTCGTCCCTCCACGCGCTGATATGAAAGCACCCGAGCTTCTACCACGTGGTTCATGGCACAGCCTGAGCCATGTCGGCGACCGGTTCGCGAGGGGTTGGCGGTGGGGTTACGTTGATGGTCACTCGGATTAGCCCTTGCTGCACTGAGCTACCGCCTGCAGTGCCTTATCGGCGGCTGGTGTCAACGACGAGAACACACACACCCTGTCTACACCAAAACTACAAGCGTTCACCGCACACGCGTCGCCGCCGCTTTTAAGCTTTTGTGAAATTGCTTTCTTTTGCCGCGGAGAACCGCCTTATCTTAACTACGCGCCTGAAATCCTTCCAGGCGGGCGTACACAATATCAAGCGTTTCGAGAAATGCCCGTGGAGTAGAACTATGGGAAAATTCGGAGCCCGCGATGTCGATATCGTCGCCGTTGTGTTAGTACGCCGTCGCGTACTGCAGTCCCCCGTTGGGGGACGGGGGGGGGGGGGGGGGGCGGTCTTACTACGATAACATGGCGACAGCGTTTACACTCTATGTATTTACGCGAGGCTCGAGTATTTGGGGATAATGCTGCCGGTTGGTGTGCCCCTTTGTGCCTGATATTATCGCCCGTGACGCCAGCGAGTGAGATGGCGACAGGCATGACTGCTCAGTAAACAGGCGTCGGCGGTCATGTTTTGCTGGTTGAAGCGAACCCCCTTGTCCTTGACACCGAGCGGGGAAATGCGAAAAAAAAGATTGTATCGGCCGTTTTGCCAGAACTGGCGACGAGTGTCGTCTGCGGTTTCCGGCAACTATTTTGCCATAATCGTGAGCTTAGCGAGGAAATTATTTTTGCTAGCCACAGAACACTACCACGCAGAAAGGGAATGCTTGAACATGTTTTTGTTCTGGATATATATCAGGGATATATATGAGAGAGAGAGAGAGAGATGAAGGTAGAGCGGAAGAGGGAATAGCATATAGTGTCGCAGGAGAATACAGTAAACAAAGTTCCTAGTGGCCGATGGCTGCATGATCTTTTCTCGGATCACTAGTCCGTAATATGATACCTCTTTGTACACAGTAGTTTCTCCTTAATTTAAGTGTGTGAACGATTTCTTTAGTTATCATTGGCCTCATTTGAATAAAAATATATAAAAGATGTGTGTTGGTTTCATGAAACTGGAACTCAGAGTCAGTTCTTGTATAAAACACTGCTAAGTGTAGGCTTTGAAAAAGGACCCTACTTTGGGGAGTTGTATCTTCTTTCTCAATAAAATGATACAACATGTTTTTAATGGAAATGAATGCCGAAATAGAGTATAACAGGTTACCTAAATTTAAAAAAAATCGAGGGTGGTGTTTTTTTTTTATTCGCATCGGAATTTTTCTTTGTTTGATTTTTTTCCATGTTTGACTAAATATATCCTAACTATTGTATCACACAGATACGTTAGTTATTTTTTAAATATTAGCTATATATTAGTAGAATAATATCTGCAAATTATATCATAATGATTAAATTATTTCATGAGATACAGACCTCCAAAATTTGCCATTTGTCGTTCGAGCAGGCATGTTTGTCAATTTTTAGAAAAATAAATAAATTTTAAATAAATATGATTACTTTATATTACAAGCAAGCTATACCCATAGTTTGCGCCTAAAACGTATTAAAGTTCTCCTAATGTTATCGCTTTAGTTATTCACTCTCAAACGGGCCCCCTCCATCAGTGCGCGTTAATGCAACTGTCCACCACCTCATGCCTTACGATTTTTCCTGTCCCCAAGTATTTTTTCTAGTCAAAACTAAGTTTGGATTCGTTCATACCAGACACTAGACAATAACATATAAAAACATCAGTTGATTTGAAAATGTCGACTAGCCATCCTTTGGTCGATCTTATCTGAAATCACCCTATGATATGATTAATATGGTCGTTCCATGGACATGTTTTCTTTAAAACTAACGCCCGAAGTTTTAAAAGCGGGAACAGTTTCTATTTGAGAAACATTTATAAAAATATTCTTGGTAATATTGGTATGATTATTCTTCGGTCGGAATATATATATATATATATATATATATATATATATATATATATATATATATATATATATATATATATATATATATATATATATATCTTCACGGCGTTTATTTTTAATGCATCATGTTTACTCCATCTATCAAGCTTTTCTATTGTTTCGTTGGCGTCATCAATAAGCTCCAACGCGTCATCACCATCAAACAATGAGCTCCCATCCTCTGCATAAATAAAAAATTGAGTTGAGTGACTAATATTTACGATATGATGTATATATATATATATTCAATAAAAAAGGCCCGAGAACGCTTCCGTGGGGAACCCCCGATTCAATCGGTTTTATTTCAGATGAGTGGCCGTTTATATGAACATACTGTCTGCGGGAAGATAAATATGAACGTAGACGTTTTGATACATGGCCACGAAATCCTTATATATTTGACTTCTTTTGTAACAAACTATGATCTCGATAGTCGCACCCTTTTGTAAAATCTATGAATAACCCGAAAGGGAATTTCTTATTCTTTTCAAAATTTCTAAGCATATGTTCTTTTTGCGCAAGGAGAGCCAGTTCTGTGGGTCGTTGTTCTCGAAAACTAAAGTGCCATGAGCTAATTAAGTCATGATTATCAGCAATTGTCGTCATTGGAAGTAGTACAACTTTTTATAAACCCTTAGAGAAAACAGAAAGAATTCAAACAGGTAGATAATGGCCCAGTTCCTCTTATTTGCTTTTTTTATAAACCTGTTACCTTCGCTAGTTGCATTTGACAGATAAACACGCCGTTTATAAAACAGAGTATGAATATTTGTGCTAAGGGAAGAGAAATAAGATCAATTACATATTTAACTGGTTTGATCTGCAATCCATCGGAGTAGCAGTTTTTGCTATTTTTTAGTATATTAAAGACATATATTACCTCTGAAGCAGTAAAAGGCATAAGAAACATGGATTGATTATTTCGAGCATTGATATTCTTGCAAGCATCTGACTCTGGACGATCTTTAACTAGACATTACAAACTACTCATCAAACGCATTTCACAAAGCATGTCTTGACAGCTCTTGACCATTGCGACTGATCTTAGAAACATGTTTCGTGGAGCACGAATGACCCAAGGTCGACAGAGATTAGTTTTTTCCACACAATGTCGACTCTGTTATTACACAAAACAAAAAAGTCACAAAAATAAATTTTCTTACCATTTTGTCTTTCTTTGTTTAATTGGTTTTTATAACGTTTAAAAAGTGTTGACTGTTCGATTGATTTTGTTTTTATTCATTTTGATACAACTCACATTTACTACAAATTTTTTTTAGCAATTCTTGTGTGAATCCATGGTTTACGACTTTTTCTATGAGTGTCTAATTGTTTGTACGGATAGCAGCTTTTATATAGTTTTTTTTTTAATGTTCAAGAGCAAATTATATGCTTTATCTTCGTTCATTTCATAAAGGACATCGTCCTTATCCAGACAATATAGTTCCTGTCTGAATCCGTTCATGTTATCAGGCATTATATTCTGAAATTGAAACATTATATGATAATGAAATTTCAAACATATTGTTAAGAGAAGTGTGATATGCCGTTATTCCTAAAATATGTTGGCACGCACTTTTTCTTTATGCCAATCAGTCTCATGTGCCAAATTCAATAGTGTAGTTTTTTTTGTTTTTTTTTCCGCGGCTCTTTTATGTACTTTGTGGCACTCTGTTGTTCCGTATCACGTCAAGTTTAAGCATCTACACCAACGATATTGACCACGCGTGAATCTAGAAAACGCGCGTTAATCTTGCAGAGCGAAGCAATCCTGGTCAGCAAATCTCGCTACCAGTAGTTGTGACATACAAATATAACACCCAAGTGTGTTAAAACTCGGTGTTCAAAATCCCAGAACATAAGGCAGGCGGACTTTGGCGGGGTACCGCTTCCTCATGCCAAGGCAGTTCTAAAGCCATCTTTTGAATAGTAGTAAATTGCAGAAAGGAAAGCATTTACGTCCCACAATATTAGCCTAAAAATGCTGAGGGTCAGAGAAACCGATTCCCACTTCCAACGTGCAATCAATTCGTTTACGGGAGGTGCCATTTGTCTCTTACTTCACTATTTATTTTTCCACGCGAATACTTGCGTGAAACAAGTGTTCTCAAGCTCATCGCGAGTTTCCAATGGCAGCAGAAGTTGGAACGAAAATAATGCTGCAACGTTTTTATATATATATATCACCTTAATATTTGAATATTTTTTTTTTCAGTTAAGCTCAGCAACACTTTGAACTCACATATTACTATGAGTTCACTCCTGCACGGGCGTGAACGTACACTCCTGAATTATCGTACACGCCAATTAGCAGTGTAGCTCTGGTTGCCACAATTATTGCGCGCGATAAATCGTTTCTTATACAGCAGAAGATATAAATCTAATTTTGAGTCGGAGCTGTCGGTGGCTCTCTGTGATTCCGAGGGACCGATTTAGTTTGACTTTGCGGCTCCATAGTCAAACCCTTCTGTACTCGTTCTGACATCTTTTGTTTGGCTTAATCCATTCCAAATCACGCCGTTCAGTATAGACACATCGTTGGCGCGTGACATTGAATATTTTAAGCTACAAAACTAGGGAAAGGTACGCCATGTGAGGAAAGGTACTTGTGTCGTACACAACTACTCAAATCTCGCGGACAAAGCTATTATCATAAAGCCACATACGAGATCCCCTACACCTGTTTCCAACGATCGAGATCTAAACGACTACTGCAGGCCCGTTATCAGCTACAGTGAATAAGATCTATATACAGTTTGTGTTTACAGTTTGAAGCAAACCATCGGGTACTTCGCAGGTGCCACGGTAAGCGTGATCACGGGCCTCGGGCACGTGACCTGCGTGCTCGTCACCGCCTCAGTCGTGACGGTGTACACCTGCATCGGGGGTCTGTACTCCATCACGTACACCGACGTCCTACAGCTCCTACTCATGTTCGTCGGCCTGGTAAGAAAACCCGAGTTACCGGATAGCAGAGAGCAACATCGGGGTTGGCCAGGGAGGTCTACGTATACTAACGTGGACAGCTGAACTGAAAGAGTCCGTAATGCTTCTTTGACGTACCTGCCAGTTTTAGAGGGAGCTATGGTCCACGCTAGAAATGAAGTGCGAGGTTGAGGTCCCGTACTTCGGACTTATTGAGTAATTGAGAAATATAAAGCTTGTGGGGACCGCAGGTGAAAGAAAAGGCATCATCAGATGTTTGAACTCATATTCGCACTGGTGCATAGCATTTTATATTTTTCTTTCGAATTGTTTTGTTCATGAAGGCAAATTTGCAATGGCAGCTTCAGCACGGCAGTGTAGGAAGACTTCCAAAATGTATATTTTTTTAGTACCAGCTCTGAGCGCAGCCGACGCTAAAATATTCAATGCATTCGATCAAGCTGCGCTTAAAGTGCGTCATGACGGCATTCGGCATTTGTGTGATTTTGCTGTCACCAAATAAATAAATCACCCAAAATGTAAACAAAAACGTAAGACCACGACGAATTCACTGTGTGTAATTTGTTTAGTCTGCGGAGCACGATGACTGCCGTGTCAGTGAACTTTGAAAGCTGCTTTACTCGCTTCGTCGGACAGTAGCCTTGGTTAGATGGGACTTAGTGTGAAGCACAGTACAAATTCACTAGATACTCTCATTGCACCAATACTCTCAATGGGTGATTTAATGCCATGACGTTGTGCAGCCACCGATAGCTTTCGAAGGCCACCATTATGCAATCGCATCAAGTTGGTTCCCCCCGGGCAACGCTCGAAACATCTACTCAATATACTTCCCTTTATGACAAGGGAGAGCGCAGCCAATGCTTACGAGCCGATGGTGCCAATCGGGCAGCACCAACACCGCCATGTCATGACGCTCGTTGTCGCTCTTTGCGTGTGAGATTACCCACTAAGTCAAACAGGAAACACAACAGAACAGCACACGACAAAACAGCAACCGACAGAACGGCACGGTCGAGACACGACGCGTCAAAAGAGCACCGCGTCAAAATAACAAAACGACAAAACAGTACGGGTCAAGACAGCACGTGACAAAACAGCTCAGCGTCAAAGCATTGGCGCGACAGAAGAGCACCTGCCAAACTATGAGCCGACAAAACAGCACAGCAACAAAGCAGCGCGCACGTAAATGCATGCTGTTTTTGTCGATGTATAGGACGCAGCAGAACATCTGTATTGTCGTTACATTTTATTATCTGCCGTTACATAACTTTATGTTATTATCTGCGTCGTTATATTTTATTACCTAGTTACAGCTGTTTTATGCATGTTCAGTAAGAAAAGCCCTTCCCACCGCAAACCAATAAAGCTTAATTGTTTGTTGTCTGTTCAGTGAGTGAATGATTCGTAATCCGTTAACATTTTTACACAGATACAAATGCGGCGCCCTATTTACCCTAAGGAAGAATGAAGATAACAATTGACGAGTTTAGTGGAACTGCTAAAGAACTAGTTTATTTGACATACACTTTTGTTTTAAATATAGCTTACATGCAGTAAACAAAGTGACCGCCCGAAAAAGTGTCAAAGAGCGGCTGTGTGTCAAAATGGGACAGGGTTTTCTGTAGTTATTGCGAGATTCTCGCGCACTGCTTTGAACCCGATGGTGTTCATCCTCTTTGGCCGTCAGCCAACTTCAGCTGGGTAAGGCTCCGCTCGATCTTCAACGTGTACATTGCCATTGCATGGCACCGGAGTTTCCAGTCTTCACTCGAGGCCTTGAAGATGAAGCAGAACCTCAGTCACCAGATGATCCACTGCCAAAGAGCATGCATCAAATCGGGTTCAAAGCCACACGCGAGAATTTCGCAAAGACTATAGGTAACGTCCTCTCCCAATATGACACAAAGCCTCTCATTGACACTTTTGTGGATTGCCATTCCTCTTACTGCATGTAAGCTTTGTGTAAAATATTAGTGTATGTCAAATAAACTATCCCTCTACCAGTTCCACTGAGCTCATTAATTGTGATCTTCATTCTTCTTTTGGGTAAATAGGGCGCCGCATTTGTATCCATGTTAAAGCTTAACGCCTTTACAATCTATCAGTCATTAAAAAGGCGGCAAGGCAATTAGCTTCATTGGCTCGCGTTGGTATGGTTTTATGTTACTGAGCCTGGACGAAAAGCTATAAGTATGCGATAAAATGCAACGGCGCAATTAATAATATAAAGTCACATTGTTTGTTTCAAATGATGTAATTGTATCCCGCTGACCGATCTGCCTGTAGGGGGCAGGGGCTTCGTCAAGCTGCATTTCTGCAGCTTTTTCTCCTGCCTCCATCGCCCATTTTTTGTTATGGGAGTAAATAAAATGAATGAATTGAACATAACGGTAGATGCTAAAATGTAAAGGCTATATAAGCATGTTCTGCTGAACACGCTAGCAAATGTACTTAATTTAGGCGCGTGCTATTAACAATGTGTATTACAGCAAATAAACGGCATAAATTTACGTACGTGATCTTCTGCCGTGTGTTGTTTCGGCACGCGCTCTTCTGTCACTCTGCTGTTTTGACACCATGCAGTTTTGTCGCGTGCTGTTTTCACGCATGCTCTGTTGTCGCTGTGCTTTCTTGTCGCTACGCTGCTTTGACGCGGTGCTGTTTTGACGCGTGCTGTTTGATTGGCTACGAGGCGGTAACAAGATGCTCAGAGATTGCCACGCCCCGCAATCCAGCACAAAGCTCACTTTATCGTTGTTTTCTTCTGCGGAAATTCGTCATCAGCGACTCTCGCCAATCAATATCCAATCTGCGTTTGCTGCGCTTTTGACGTCACTTCCTTCTCCCCTGTTGCCGTGGCAGTTCAAAAAGCGCAACAGAGGGCCCCTGCGGATCGTCCCTCCCACGCCAGCGCAGCGTAGGCTAGCTGTCCCGGGCTATCACAGCCCGGTTCTCACTGCGGAACCACTCCGGCATCGTCATGGCCCCGAACGGTAGGGCCAGGGCTCGCCGTTCCCACCGGTTTTGCTCTAAACCTCGCTGGTGAACCTCTCCGGGGATCGCCATGGGTCAGACCTGCCAGAACGGCTCCATCGTTCCTGCCCGGCCCCAGCCTCGCGCAGCACGCTTTATCTGGCGCCAGCTCGTGCTTCTGGCACCAGCTCAGCTCGCGGCCTCCTCCCAGTCGTCATCTACTTAAATCCAACCTCGTCTCCCACAAGGGATACTTCAGCGAAATTTGAAATATACCAGTAATCTTCAGAAATAGGCTGAATGTGATCCACGATATCCCTAAATGACGACCGCAGATTTGTATTTTGAGCCTGATGGCTGTATTTTTCGTTAGAAACCACCAACTCTGGCAGGCGCTCGGAGAGCACCCAGCGGAGAGCACATGACATCAGCCGTAATCGTGACGTAGATTGTCTCGAGACGGGCAAAGCTAAGACGAGGCTGACGTCAAGAGGATATTCTGACCGTTCTAGCCACCGAAGTGGTCGAAGCAAGCCAGCGATCGGGCCACCGCAGCTAACCGCAAATCTGCTTTTGTGTGAATTTCGGGTGACGATTTAAGCTTCTATACTCTTGTAGAGGGAGAATAGCGACGTCTGGGACACGCAAGAAAGAGCCTCGAGAAAAGGAGAGTCCCTCATTCCCCTCTTCTCTGGTTGTGGCCGGAGGCGAGACAGACCTCATCGCTACCTGACAAAGTTCCTAGACGTGCATTACAAATAAGGCGTTAGAGATATCCTCCAGGTTTTCTTTACTAATCGTTTAAATCGTTTTAAAATTCCTTTTCGTGTCTTTTTCAACAAGAGATTGGTGTGTCTGATGTGATACTGCACTCTTGAGCCCGAATCGACCAAGAAATAAGCACCGAAATTTGGTGACGGAGGCCGTGACTTTATCTGATCACGTTCTTTCTTTCGTGATTGGTTCCTCTATGTTGTTATTGACGAATGTCGTATCTTATAGTTTGCGAAGAGATGATAAGATCCTCGGAGCTTACCACACTTCGAGCTTCTTCGGCTGCCATTGACTACGTCAACCCGAACCAGCATCACTGCTCTACATTATAGGGTGCCTTAAGCGATCGTTTGGATATTGACAAGCGTCATCTTCCAGTGGACGTGCGTTCCATTCGCCCTGAGCAACAAGCACGTGAGGCCCCTGGGCAGCCTGCCGCCCGACCAGTGGCTCGGTACAGTGCTGCCGTGGCAGGTCCCCACCTACATCGACAATTTCCTCATGATCGTCTTCGGAGGCGCGCCTTGGCAGGTAAAGACTTTTTTGTTTTTGATTTTTCATTCCGAACGCATTTACGCTTCATTCCGCAAAAGTCCGGTGTCGTCGGCGGTGTGACCAAGTTATGGTACCAAAAATGGCCTATGGCGCAAAGAGTAAAAACACGTTAAAAATACTGGGATTGACATCGAATTTCACAGGGAGGTTCCTGTGAACCAGGGTGTCGAACCGGAACCGAACCGAACCGAAAACCGGAACAGAACCGTTATTTTTAGGCGAAGCGGAACTGAACCGAACCGAAATCTTGGCCGCCATCTTGGAACTGAACAGGAACCGAACCGAAAAAAAATATAACGGTAACCGGTTCAAAAAGGTTCAAGGTAATATTTCTTTTTTTTTCTTTTTTGTTAGTATCACAAAATGAACATATGGGAATAAAAAATTGGCGGCTCTATTTCTATCTATTGATCAAATCATCATATACAGAATTCCAATGTATGAAATTGTGGGTTTTCGTGGCACCTTTGTATTGGCACTATGATTAACCAAGTGTCACGTTGTCACGTGACGTCATGGTGTCAATACATGTTGTCAAGTAATGTCACGTGACTTGCTGCATCAACTCGATTTAATTTGAGGAAGTCATTAGATGTATTAACCTTGTTGGCAGCATGACGTAATATGACATCACGATTTCGCACCGAGGGTCACGTGACACCGTGACGTAAGCGATTTTCATAACCCCTAGTCGAGTGCTCGGGTTCATGACGATCAGCGTCGCCAAACATTCGGGTAACAACTCATGTCAATTAAATATGATAATTAATAGCCCAACAGTAACCATATCTGAAGCTCTGCCCATACTTTTGCTTTCCAAACCCTAGCCGCCGAGGGCATGACTGTGACAAACACTGGTGGTATATAATTAGCGTCAGATCGCGTGGCCGCTTGTTCAAATTGCGAGTTGAGGAGATATCGACAGCTGTCTCTGTCCTTTATTTTTCTGCATCTGTTATTAGGGGAAAACTAATGGATGTTTCCGCAAGCTATCAACGTCAGAGGTTATTTCTTAACACTATTTATTGAAAGTACAAAAAAAATGTTGCAAGACCAACTTTACATTATTGAGGCACCGAAACATTTTTTAGTTGTTGCTGAACTGCATCCGAGAAATGTCCTTGAGAATAGAAGTTCTGAAATGACTAAATGCGACTTATTAATATGACGTTACATAGAACTACACGTGTCTACGGAAGGAATACCTAAAAAAGAAATAAGATATTTTAGCGACCTCAGAGGAACAGCCGAAGGTTGGCAGTCGCGGTAAATCTCACACGAGCGTTGTTTTCAAGATATTGCCAAAGTTTCAACCCCCTTTGTATTTTGCTTAAATGAGCTAAAACAATATTTCTATACATTACTAAATACTACTCAGGATCACTCCCTAACGCTAATAACTGATTGAACTTGACTTTGCGTATTTGTCTAGGCAATGGCAGTCGCCAAACAGTTAGAGAGATATGAGCATCGTTCATCCCCTCAACTCGGAGCCAGAAGCGGCCACGTGGCCTGGTGCCTATCTTATGCCGCCAACGTTGATCATACCGCCGCGCTGGGGTTTTAAAGGACGAAAACGCGTGCTGAGCTCCAGGCATTGTTAGAGCACGGCCGGACTGGAAGCGCCCGCTCTCTTTCTCTTCTTACGGCCTTTGCAATCGCCCGGGAGTCAATGGCATTTTTTCTCCGTATTTAGTTCACTTGCTCGCCGCCAGGAGCGCAACCACCTCACCCCACTTCACCCCACTCGGAGAGTCCCTTCGAGCTGCTTTGCGCTGGTGTTCGAGCTTCAAAGGTTGTTGTTTTTGCAACGATTTATTGAACTTCGCTCCGATTTAAGTCACTCTACCGACAGGCAATGTCGTCAGCAAACTGCGTTCCCCTATGACATGGACTTCTGTACTTCTCTGACCCCTCGCACGCCGTTGTTCGGAAAGCGCGGTCATGGTCAAAGAAAAGGCCCCTTTTAAGCAAATACAGATGTCAGACACTGATTCTGAGCAGTTGGCAGTGGCTTTGCCCGACTCGGTTACCACTGACCTGAAAAATCTAAAAGAGCTGTAGCGTTGAGGCTACATAAATATTTAATACGTTATTTTAAAATACATCCAGTTCAAACCACTAGCCCCGACGAGATCGGTTCCTCCAATCTTCTGTCTCGAGATCCGCGTTTCTTCTTCCTCCCCTTCGGTCTGGCCGTTCACTACAGAGCCTTGCGCTCCATCTCCATCCGTGACATACTCTGGCCTGGTGTACGTCGGTGGCTATCTGGTGAAACTCATTAGTGAGTTTAAGTGCGACTTCTGTGTTATGCTGTTGACTACGAGTAACAGAGGTGATCCTCTGTTCGCCTTATTGCAAGGCCAGAATAAACGCGGACTTCATTTTCCAAATCCTAGGTTCTTCGCACTTCTGGACAACAATGTTGCTTTCTCTTTTAAGGCTGTTATGCACCTCCGCGTAGAAATGTGCACGAAGTTCTGCAACTACTCATTGCACCCTATCTTGAAGACGCGCCAATCCTACGTTGCCCAGAAGGCACTGACAACAGTCACTCAAAGCGCTTGGTTGGTTTAATTTGCAAGAAGTTGCTCAGACTACTTCTGATTAACCATGCAAAGACGGTCATGGACAAAAACGAAAAAATCAGCTGGATATGTGGACAATCCCTCGAGGAAGCACTTTAGGCTGTAGTGTGCACTGTGCGAAAATTGTAGACTACTACACCCTCGTCTAGAGCAGCTGACCGACGTCATAGGCGGTTTATGAAATGATAACGCAGACCACGGCATTAGATAGATTGGGCCTGCTTACATTTCACGAGAGTGTACGAATTATTTATCATTTAAATTTCCTCTCCGTAGAAGGCGTCCGTCTCCTCCTGTTCTTGAGTTGCAACGGAAGGAGGTAAAGACAAGTATAGTTTTTCCGCAATTGTATTCGCTGCCTCTACTTACAACTTTTTACTCCCGAATCTCTCGGAGATGTGCATCAAATATTTACCGCTTTAGGGTCATCAGAAACGCATTAGATAGTGGCTGAGGGTCTAAACGTAAGGATCAGGTGTCAAAGGCTATAAAAATCTCGGCCGCAAGTTGCGACAGCGCTGAGGTACACTGCATGTCAGACGCACTCTGTGCAAACGGCAAAGGGTAGCCCAGGGGTGAGGTGACAGCGCCCCCCGCGAATTGCGGCGGGAGGTGGCGATTGCCCCAATTGCAAAGGCCGTAAGAAGAGGAAGAGAGCGCGCGCTTCCAGTCCGGCCATGGCTAGAGTTGGACTATTCTCATCACCGCAGTGGTTGGAACACGAGCCACTGCCCGAGTGTCCACCGAGGCATTGATTGTTACGAGCCGATGTCAAGTGCTGACACAGTTCTCGTGTCCAATCCATGAGCCGCGCTCGACTGTCGACAGGCGGGTGGTTTCAATCCCACAATTACGTCATCAATCTTTGGGACGGCAAGACTAAAAGAAATAGTCTCGTTTAATCTTTGCAATTTCACCACGACGAAGAAGCTTCTGAATCAGTGGCGGCCTGTGCGAGTACACTTGGGCTAGAGGACCAGTACGCCTCGGAAAGGTCATGAACATTCCAACCCGATATCGTTTCATGACCCCTTGGAACTTCACAGGGTGCAAAATGAAAGCAATGAAGGGTTGCGGTTAACAAGCGTCAAATAAAATTGTCAAATTAACAGCCACAAACGAAGGAGGTAATTCCTCAGGAATGCTTTCAGTCTTTCCACCCTGTTGACGACCAATAAAGCTGTACTATGGTGGGAATGAAGTAATGGCCGGCCGCAAGTCCGTAAGCCAGAGTGGAAAGGCTGGAGGGGTTGCCACCCTCTACGAACGACGGCGGAAACCAGACAACCGGCAAGGTGATTGTCTGGTTGTCGTCGTCATTTATAGATGGCGGAGTTTAGTGTCATCATTTGTTCGTTGACGGACACGACACTGGGAAACTAGCCCCTAACAGCACCGCTGTATAAAGAAGTGCATCTGTGTGTATGTGTGTGTGTCTGGGGGGGGGGGGGGGGAGTTTTAAAAGCATACTGTGTTGTAAAGGTTCCTCTTCCCTGCATCTTTGGCGCAGACCAAAAAGGGTGACCCCGGAAACTACTTTGTTTGCAAAAGAGCTCTTGCCGAAAAGCACGTTTTTGTCGTGCCGGACGCTCGGGCCGTTCCTCACGACGATGCACTACGAATAATAATACGAGCCTTTCAAGTACTTGGTTTTCACTGAGCTTGAACCTCCTGCAGAGTGGCTTTTGCACCGTCGAATTCGATTTTCTCAGCAAGAAGAAATCGGAATGACCACTAGCCTATACTGTGATGACGTCACGTGCATACCATGCTAAATAGTTCAGCTTTCTGTTGAAATGTGATGCTCGCAACACTAGCAATAAATGTCCTAGTTGTAAAGTTGTGCAGTATTTATAGCAGTTCGCGATTATATACGACAGCCTAGAGAAATGTTATAGCGCATGACTACTCTAGCATAGTGTTGTGAAGTGAGGGCCCAAAACAAGTGCAGGTAAAACCGATTATAACATTAGCCTCCTCATGCAAGCTGATTAAATGTGATTTATACTAAGATTTTAAGAATCTTTGTCTGTCCTTCGCGATATTTATGCAAAATCATGAATTTCATTGCGCGCATCTTTACGCATCTCTTTTTGCAGTGAGGCGTTTTGCAAGTAATTATTTGGAAAAAAATAACATTAATTATCTCTCTCCTTTTTGAGCATTTCGTGTATGTGACTTCCAATCCATTATGTGAGCACAGGGTCCTTTTTAGCGAAACCTGCAATCCGGTGTTTCACAACTGCCAATCAGCCAAGCAGAAAAACACTTTTACGCAGACTCCACAGCTCGCGTAGTTTCGAGTATCGTCCTTCAGCGTCGGTCTCAAGCGGTTATGAGAACTTTATAATGTACAATTTATTGATCAATATAAAATATATTTAATTA